ACAATACTTGATATGCCATTATTTCACTTATTCAGGGTTCTTGTAGTAAATCTCACATTTTATTCTTATTGCCAAAGCTTGCCTTTTGGCTGTTTTTTCCAATATTGACAAAAATGTATTCAAACATATCAGACTAAGGGTTACAATAGAGCTGTGCTGACAAATGCACTATTAGTAGAAAAAATGTAGTCAGACAGAAATGGATATGGAAGGTAAGCCCAGACCCAGACCTTAGTCAGTCATCTTCACATTATATTCCACACATTTTATTTTACTAAAAATAGTATACTTGATTGTGTATGTCAGTGCTAAACAAATAATAAACTTTCTACTTCAAGACAAAAATGTTAATCCATTCCAGAGAACACTGCCTGTCATTTAATTACCATTAAGCTTTTTGTCCACATTCAATTATCCAAACTTAGATTTAAACACTGATTATCAACACAAATCCTTTAAGCCTCCTGTTGAGTGGACTCTGTGTAGCAATGGCTACACCCACAAGTAAGTGCACAAACCTGTATATAAAACTCACTGTGTGCACTTCAAGTTTAAGGCCTTCTGCTAAGGCATTGCCTCACACCGCACAACAGCCTGAGGTATGAAAGCAAAACAATTTGATGGACACAGTTTAACCACCAAACTCTTCTTCTGCTCATGTTTGCAGAGCTGCAAAGTCTAACACAGCCTGATGACGCAGACCCACCATGCCAAATCACATTTATTTGGGGATACCAATACTGGCAAGAATTCTTCAAGTAGCCAGTTATTATAACCTTCAGCTTCTGTGGTGGGAAATGCTGCTGGGACAATGTTTGACAAACAGCATGCTGGTTATTACATTTGCATTGAAAAGTATGCCATACACATCCCACACATTTCTGAATCACTACTCCACCTTCCTCATGCAAATTTAACAAATTACTTATATTTTTATGGAAATCTTACAGTTTTATAAAATTATGTCCCCCAGGGAGGCAACTTTCATTTGTTCGGTGACTAAATGAGAGTTAGGGTATAAATAAACTTACAGATATATCGCAATGGCTCAAGAAAAAAATATTATTCATAATCATAGCATAGGAAACTGGGTATTGTAGGTGGCCAAAGAAGTGCCCAGTTAAATTACTGAGTGTACACAGTGAACACAAGAGTGCCTAACAACTAAACCCAAGAAATCCCACGAGCCTGCACCAAAAATGAACACATGTGGGGGGAAAAGTCTACTTAATATGAAATAAATAGGGATATGTGTGATGTGGAAAGTGAAGCATTCTCTTCTATCTGCTTGCAGGATACACAGAGCGAATTAAAAGCTGGGGGGCTTGATAACAATGTTGTTGTCCTTTTACTCGAGACCCAAGGGATTACATTCAGTCACCCAGAATATGAGAGATTCAGATATGATTTTTTTTCCAGTGCCCAGTATGAATTAGATCCATCAAACATAAATCACGTGGTGATCTGTGCATTTGTTCCATACACTAGGCTATAAAAGGAAATGAACCCCCCTCCATACCAACTCTTCTACCTTTTTGATTTCAACGAGACTATTGCAACATATTTTCAGAAGACAAAGCATCTCATCAAAGAGGTTGACAATCGGAAACACAGCTGCCACATTGTACAGTACTCCCTGAAGAGATTATGTCTAATGAAGAGTCTGGAAAATAATTTTACAGGTCATTTCAAGCAAGACAGTTGAGACTAGAGATAAAAATTACATTATGTCAATGGCAGAAACCATTATATTGCAGACAGGAAAGAAATCATTAAACATGTTATTTAACAAAGAATAGGTTTTTATGTATGTACTAGGTATGATAATTTCAAGAAACACTTAGCTGGAAAACCACAAAAGTTGAGGAACAGTCTATGTCTCAAGGCAGTTATGCACATCAGAACCCCTTTTCCCATGTTTTCATCTGATAACTTGTGTGCCTCATTTACTTTACAACTGACATTTTAATACACAATTATTCCTCCTCACATCTATAAGAAAACATCTATTTTTCACAGTGCAAAATATTGTGAAGTATAAATAAGCATTCTAACCAGATGTCTGACTGAATTAGTGTCTTCTCACTAGCTTAGTACACTGACAATCTGTCCTTCACTAACATTTTTCCAGCAGGGAAGTTTACATACAAGTGCAATCACTTCCAAATCCTACTGCACATCAGTGCTCAGACTTGGGGTTAGACATTAAAATGCACTTTCCATCCTGTTTTAAACCTCAAAACTGGGCTTTTTGCCAATGAAATACTTGCACAGGAGGGACAAATCCCAACATAGACACATTTTTGTATTGCAATAGTCAATCTAATGACACGTATATTGCAGTGTATTTCTTGATACATAAGAGGCAGGACTCAATGACCACATGGAATAGCACTAGGAAGAAAGTGTTTACTTGCATATAATTTCTAACACATCTTAGAAGTCTAAGTCTTAAAAAGTAAGACTTTGGAGTAAGTAAGTAAGTAATCTTTTGGAAATAATTAGTTTGCACATTCTACAGATTGCCTAAATTTTAGATTTCCCGCTTGAGGTTCTAAATTCAAAAGAACAGCAGAATTTTTCAGCACAAAATTCCATTGAAATTTTGGTTTGCATCATGCCACATATAAAGGCAAAAGCCTTCCATCCATTGCCAAAAGACTGTGTGACCCTACTTGGCACAGCTGATAAACTCAAGGTACCTTCTTGAAATCTTTTTTGCAGTAAAGATACCTTGGATACAGTAAAGCTGTTCTCCAGAAAGAGGAGCTAAAATACAGGAAATATATCTCTGTAAATGGTTTGGGTTATTATTATCATCCAGAAGCTACAGCACTTAACAGCAGTCACAAAACAACACATGAAAAGCATGTGCTACAAACAGTGTCCTCAGTAATATCAGCATTAGCACCAAATCACCACTTGAGAAAAACTATTCCTTAGTATCAAGCTACTTTTCAAGCAATAGTCATGCGCCATATTATGCCAGTAAGTGTGTTACCCTCTCAGTAATGTTTAAAAGGAGGTAAAACTCAGCTTTTTTTGGCTATCAGCTGTACTCTGCATTACTGATCTCCATTAATCACCATAACAGCACCAGGAAATAGAAGTAATTTGAGGATTAAAAAAACCAGAGTATAAGGATCACATGCCACACACGGCCCAGCTTATTATTTATTAAATTCTTGGCCATGTGAAGGCCTCTAGCAAAACCAGTGACTTTTGGTTGAAAAGGCATATCTACAAAATGTACCTGAGATGTGATATAGCTGGAAGTTAGGCAGAAAAATTCAAAAACTGTTTGGTAACCACTGTAGCCTAGAGGAGCCTGTTCACTCACTGCATTCATTCCTGCCAGCCAAGTCCTGGCAGTGGCCACATGTAGGCATTGCCTATGGATCTCCGTGAAGCGATTATTTTCCACATCCAGAGAAACCCCAAAGAACAACTTCTCCATGCCTAACGTCGATGTGAAAACCAAGCCCTTGATAACTTCCTGTGGTTAGTGCTACCCTGGTTCTACAAAGCAACTGGACTAGGATGCAGGCTGTCCCTATGGCCACTGTGAGGTGATGAGAAGCAGTCCCACATTGAGAGAGTGCTGGACCAGGAGCTGCAGGCACAGGCACTTCTTTCACTTCATTCTTGAAGGGAAATTTTCAGCACCCCACAGACCTGCAGACTTTGTTCGAAGAGATGATTTGAAACACTTCACGCAAGCTCTATCCTCTCACATCTGCACAACCACTCTGAGTGAGTAGATGGCAAAAGAACTTCAGAATTGCCATATTAGTTCAAAGCTTTAGTCCACTAGTGAGAACCAATCTGAATAAACATCACAAACTTTTTTTTTTCTGAAGGGATTCATTAGATATATGCATTAGATATGTGCATTCATATATGCAGGGTTTAAGTCCAATGTGCAGTAATATATGCTGTTACACACAGCTCCATGAGCATACTGAATTAGTGATCCACAAAGACACTCAAGAATAGCAATACAGCAGTAAATTTTGAAAACTCTGGTTCTTCTTAGCTGAGTTGATAAATATTCAAGCACTGTAAGTGTTCCCAGTTTCACTGTTGTTATTCCTTTCCTATATCCAGGTAGCTGTCAAGTGTCTGGTAGGTGGCTCACAGATAAAACAGCAAATATTAGGAGAGCCTGATAACTGTAATTTACCATTTAAGCAATAAAATATAATTTGTAAAAAAGAAAGTATGCATCTTCTGGCAATCATCTGAGATTTTAGGACTCATCTTGCATTGCTTAATACCCATTTTCCCTCTGTTGGGTAGCTTCTCCTCAGAAGCATTAACAAGTGGTAATTACAGTAGTCATGCTGACAGCACATAACCAAAGGGACACTGCCAACACTGAACGCCAATAGACGTGGATGTTAAGTTGTGATTCCTGGAACCTTTGTAATTTATGTTTACATAATTCAGCTTTTATTGCATATGTTCTTACACTCTGCTTTAAATGATAACTACCTGCCAAAACTCACATAATGAAATTACACAAGGCTACGCGGCCTTGACAAAGGTAATGATAGGAGGATGGGGTTTTTTGTAATTATTTTGCAATAATGAAAGGAGGATGGTTTTATGCACACACCTTCAGTGTGCGCTCTCTCGGTGGGAGCAACCGATCACTGGAATTAAAATTTCTGCAATTACATTAAACGCATCAGACACCATCAGTTCTACATACACCCGACGTCTCCTGCCCTGCTCTCCACAGCTGAGCCCAAGCCACCCTTCGCCTCCCTGCCAGCGGGCAGGCACCACGCCGTGCTCTGAGGAGACCTGCCAGCGCGGGCACGGCGGTGCCAACGCTGCTCCTCCGCCTCGGCAAGCACAGCTATCCCGCTGATGCCCCAGGGAGGCGCGGGAAGCTGCCAGGTCCCCACACGGCTGCCCACCAGCGCCGACCCCCGCCCGCCGCCCCTGTCCCGCGCAGGGACGGAGCGACCCCCGGCGCGGCCGGCGGGACTCACACGGGGTAGAATGCGTAGGGCGGCAGGGCGCTCTCCTCGCACAGCTCCGCGTCCAGCAGCAGGTAGTCCTGGCTGTCGTTCCGCCGGGCCCCGGGCGCCGGGGAGCTGCCCTTGCGCGGGGCGTAGGGCTGCGCCTGGCTCATGCTGTCCCGCGGCCGAGCTGCGCGGCGGCTCCCTCGGGGCGCGCCGGCAGCGCCGCGGAGGCACAGGCGCTCGGGGCCGCGCTGGGCTCTCGCCGGCAGCGCCGCGGCCCCGCTCGCTCCGCGCCCCGGCAGCGAGGGGCTCCCGGCAGCCGGAGCCGCCGCCCGCCGCGCCGCGGGCGAGGCGCAGCTCGGAGCGGGGGCAGCAAAGTTTGCGGCGCGTCAGGCGGCGCGGCTGTCCCCGGCCGGAGGGAAGGGGCGGGAGGTGGGAGGGCGGCGGGCTCCGCTCGCCTCCTCTGGGGCTCCGGTGCCCCCTGCGCGCCTCCCCCGCCGGCGCCGCCGCTCGCTGCGGCCCGTGGCACCGGCCCCGCTGCGCTGGGGGGCCCGCAGCGCTGCCCCGGGCAGGGGCCATGTCCCCCCGCCGGGACCGAGGGAGCCTCCCGCCGCTTGTGCCGGGCACGGCCCGCGGTGGTCGGCAAGGAACCCCGCCGAACGCTCCCGTGGGAGCTCGGCAGGAGCGGCGGCGCGGCTGGCGGTGGCTCCCCGCGGCTGGGAACAGAACTCCTGCTTGGATTTACAGTGCCTTGGTAGGACAGCCTGCGCTGCACTTGTGTCCTCGTGTAAGTGGCCGAGGAAGAGCATCAATGAAAATGGATGCTAGTCAAGTACACCCAGAAAATCTGCAACTTTAAGTCTTCCCCATAAACTGGAAAATTTCATTGGAAATTCTACTTCCTTTTCAGGCTCTTTCTTTCATCTCCGAAACATCCTCTGTTCACCTGTTTCAGAGAAGAGCTAGTTTTTAATCGCCTCTAATAACATCAGTTAAGAGCAGGGGCAAAATATCAAATATCATAGTAAAAAAAAACCCCAAAACAACACAATATTTTTGCAGTAATAGCACTTAAGCGAAACTCAGTCGACTTATATTTCTGAATCCTGCTTCACTGGTAGCACTTTGTTTGATGATAGTTTGCAAATAAGTAATTACAAACTTTTCTAGGAAAAATGCATGGCACTGAAGAATTAACATCTGACCTTTAGGTATCTTCCACGTTAAACATAGTACTTACTATTTCATAAGGGGATATTTAGAATTAAATGTTGCAAATGTATAGCTAAAACATTAGTGCATCCAAATAAAATCACTCCTTCGTTCCTGGCCATGTTCGCATGTTGAATTGTGTTTGTGATGGAGTAGCACACAGCCCTGTACTCTCTAGGCATGCACACCTTCCCCTGATTTAGTGATGTGCTGAGAAAACAACTGGGCAAGCCCCAGGAGAGTCGTTTGCAGAGCAGGCTGGCACTGCCCCTGCTCTCCAGCAGCCCCAGCCAGCCCGTGGGTTCAGTGCCTGCCTGGGCCGCTGGGATCGGCTCACCCACTGAAACTGCCAGAGCAGGAGCTGTGTGAAGGAACCTGCTGCTCATTTACATTTACGTGGTCTTTAGAGGAGGTGCAGAAATACCTGCAGTCAAATTTCTAAAATTTCTTTTGTCCTAGCTATGGCTCTGAAAATTACACTCTAATGAGTTTTGGAAATCTTCCCTTCTTTGCGAACCATTTTTTTCTGTTAAAGGACATCTTTTTTTAAATAGGAAGTTTAGTACCAATGATACTATGGGTATTTTGTAATTCTCATGTTGCTACTTCTTTCATATTACTATAAAAACAGATAACACAAAATTATGTGCAGGCTTTGCATTTGAGAAATATGTTGTTGATAATATCTCATATTTTTAGTGAAAGAAAATTGCTTTCTAGAATACTTTGTGATGGAATCTTGATGTCTTCCACTGCTCTTGTGTGTAGCGATTTAATTTCATTTATTCTACTTTTTTATGAAGAGACATTACCTCTCCACTTGGTGCTTTTCGTATATTTCCCAAATCCTTGCAGTTACTTTTTATTTCAAGTAGTCTATTTGATATTAGGCTTGATATTGTTTCAAATGTTTTCTTTTAGGTACCTTTGTTTTTTCCCTTTTCTTCCCTCTGTTCTTTTTTCTTCTCCCCTCTGGTATATTTTCTTCTTTCTCAAAGTGAGTACCATCCTACTTTGTTGACGGGCATTCATATCCCTTGATTATTTTTTTCAGTCTGTACTAGAGCCAAAAGAGCCACTATCTCTATTTCATTCTGCTGCTTCCTTCAGTCTTGTGCTTACCGATTGAATGCCCCTAGATTATTTCCCATCTTCCACATGATACCTGCTCCTCTCTCTCAGCTTGCAGGTGACATTTCTCATTTTCTCAGTTGGTGTTCTTCCTAGATGCCAAACGTTCCTTGGTCTTCATTCTTATTTCAGCCTCATAAGTTTGGTATTTCCCAAGGCACTCTTACTTTCTCACCAATCCTAAAACTTTCACAAATCCTGAAGGTGCACTCAATAGGTGTTATTGATGATACAGTGATGACACAGCTGTGTGATTTTTCCAGAAATATTGGACAGATAGATTATAGGAACAAAAAATGTTCAATGCCCTTGAAAGGGAAAAAAAAAAAAGATGCTGAGCTGAAATTCTGAATCTTTTCAGCCTGATTTATATTATAAAAAGACATCTTTCAACATACTTGCCCTGTCTCCATTGCCTGGTTACAGGGTGAAAACACGCAGCGCTATAGGAGCGGGCCATACTTCTACTAGAGGTCAGATAAGCACAGATGTTCTGAAATCTGTGGGTTTTCCAAGAATTACAATATGATGGGAACACTGGCTAAAGGTAGCGTGTCCTTTTGATGTGTTTGTGTTGGAATGGTTCAGGATATGGGAGTGGACTTGCATTTTTTTCTTTTTTTAGGCTAGGGATGATAACCTATTCTGTAACTGTCTGAAAGCTATTGAGGTTAAAGAGAATTATTTTGGATGCCAAAATGCTGGAATGAAGAAGCAAGGTGTGGTCCTTTCCTTCTGTGAGAGAGAAGAAAAGAGATTCTTAGCTGAGAGTTTAACTTTTAACTACTCATTATGCTTTGTGCAAGTCTTTCCTACACCAAATGACATTTAAATATTATTCTGGCTTTCCTAATGACTTGGCATTTCTGTTGAAAAGATGAACATATGCCATTTTTTAATGAATTTACCATTACTGATATTTATGCAGTCATCTATTAGACATTTAAATTGTAAATTGAATTACAATGAAATTGCTGTTCTGGAGAAAGTTATCAGATCTTCACTCTATTATTTCCTGTAAATATGTGTATATATCTATATGTAAAATAAGAGTGAATACTGAACTAGAAAACCCAGCTGTTTTTCCTGAGTCTTTATGTGGTTTGTGTGGCATGGTTTTGGTGGGGATGAGTTCTGTGAGAAGCTGCCAGAAGGTTCTCCCATGTCAGATAATGTCAGTGCCAGCCAGCTCCAAGACAGACCCACTGCTGGCAAAGGCTGAGCCATCAGCAATGGTGGGAACACCTCTGTGACAAGGGATTTAAAAATGGGGGGAAATTTCTGAGCAAGAACATCTGCAGCCAGAGAAAGGAGTGAGAGTATGTGAGAGAAACATCCCTGCAGACCCCAGGGTTGGGGCAGAAGGAGGGGCAGGACGTGCTCCAGGTGCCAGAGCAGAGATTCCCATGCAGCCCTTAGTGCACAGACTATGGTGAGGCAGCCCATGGAGGTTCATGGTGGAGCAGAGATCCACCTGCACGTATTAAACTTTCATGCTTTAGAGGTAAAAAATACCTAACCTTGACCAAAAAAATTTGCCGCATTGACATGCTTCATATTTCCTTTGTGCACCTTTTTTAGTACATTATCAGAAAATACATCTGTCTTCTCAGATAAAAAGAACTGGTGAATTAATGTGAAGTGTAAGTGTAGTTTAGAGTTGGTTTAATTGGTTTTCTTACAGACAGCAAGTTACAAACTATTCCATCATCATTCACTCAATCAAGTCTAGTGACTGAGATATATCACTCACAAAGATGCAAAACAAAAGCTGAAAGCTCCTGGGAGGGGAAAGGATGAGAGATGGAGTGAGCTTGCCTAATGAGTGACAGGCACATTGCTCAATGCACTACTACAAGTCACTTGGGTGCCATGGCAATGAAAGCTGCAAAAGATGCCATGCAGAACAGCACAGTACCATGATTCAGCCTCACTGCATAACTTACAAAGATTTATATTGGAATATATATAGGTGCAGTTGTATTGCTAACTTGTAGACTAATCTAAACCTCTTCAGCAACAAGAGAAAGTGGCAACATCAACCTCCACTTCCAAGGAAATTTTCAAGGATTCATACAGTGATATTTAATTGCTCACATTTAACCAAAATCTTGTTGTGTAAGCTGGTTGGAAAGCACTAACATAACAAGGGTACTCCAGCACATGCCACAGTTGGTTTTGTGGCTTTCTGTTCTGCCATGGGAATACTATCAAAACCACAGTTGAATAAACCAGGAAAGGTGCAAGTCAATTCAGCAGTGCAATGGCTAAGCAGTGTCACTGCTGTGGGTGTGAGTATCACTTGGAAAGAATAGAAGAATGCTATACAGCCTGGAGTTGGAATTCTTCTCTGCTCTATAGTGCAGAACTCTCGACTTGCTTTTAGAAAGCCTGAAAATGGAATCATTACTACTTAGCAATTTTGTTTTTCTCTGAATAAGATAAATGGAATAACCATTGTCAACTACTGGTTCTAATCCCAGCTGCCTTCTGCCTTTCTTTAAATGTGAATGAGGGCAGAATCATGTTGTGCCTACCAGAAACCCTTCCCCATTTCTAAAATTCTTCCTTTGTACAGTCTCTTCTGGCCCCAATCCAACCTGCTGTTTCACATTCAGGTTAGGTATTAGAAAGAAATTCTTCACTACGAGGATGGAGAGGCCCTGGAATAGGTTGTCCAGAGAGGCTGTGGGTGCCCTATCCCTGGAAATGTTCAAGGCCAGATAGGATCTGACCTTGAGCAACCTGGTCTAGTGCAAGGTGTCCCTGCCCATGCAGGGGGTTTGGAACGTCATGATCTTTAAGGTTCCTTCCAATCCAAACTGTT